AAATGCGCAATCAATATTGTTTTGTCTGCAATTGAGCATAAAATAAAAAATAACTTCATCCAAAGAGCATAACTGGCATTATACTCAGGCCCATCAATTGGTATGGAAAAAAGTAACTTTACCAGGCTTCAAAATATCAATCAAAATTCAAAAAACATAAATATTAAAATCAAAAAATGTATATATGTATGTCTATACATACATATAATGATTTATGGCCGCTTAGTAACTGACGGTGACTCACTATAACATCCTACAGTCACGCCGAAACTAAGAGGAGAGAATCACTGTAGAAAAGGTAATAATTTATTGCGGAAGTTTTGTGATAAAATTAAAAAATATATAAACTTATCCAAGTTAATCTAACTTAGTCTAATTTATCCTTATGCGTACATAAAAAAACAAATAATAAAATAGTGAGATGGCGTCAGTTTTTAAGAAGATATAACAAAAATAAATAAAAAAATAAATTTCAAAAAAGTTCAGTGTTTAATTGATTATATACCGCTGACACTTAATCACGCTTTTCGAAACCATGCCAGTTGTAAACAATACTTGTGTGAAAAGACAAAATCTTCTTTTCAAATATCCGCCGAGTTGTAAGTAGAAGGCCAAATAGGTCACGTGTCAATTTTAATGAAATATATTTTATATGAAGTGATCTTGACTACGTTTCATCAATTAACCATTGGTAAAAATTAAAACAGGAATTTTACGATTGTGTTTACAAAAAACATTATTAGTTGAACCTTGCAGCTTGTTCATTATTTTTATTATAAATACCTATAAATGTATATATTATTAATAAATAGTTCCCATAATATATTGGATTATTTTTTATTTTGCCCTATCTGCAATGTTCTACGCTCTATAGAAAATGTGGCGTATGACATGACTGACAATCTTTCGAACGTTTTATCTAGGTACAAAGATGTTTTACGTTTTCGTCGCCTCCACATGATATTTTTGTCAGCATAAGGTACCCTTCTATATCTGAAACGAATATAAATATTGCTACAAAGTAAAGTAATAGGCTATACAAGTCCCTCTACTGGGCACAGGACTCTTTTTTATTTCTGAGAGGGTTTTAGGGCAAGGAAATGCCCGCCGTGCTTCCCCAATGCGTGTTGACGAAAATTGCAATTACAAATTTCATTCGTGCTGTCGGGGATCAAACCCGGGAAAATTTACAGCGAACGCTTTGACGACATATTTTTAATACGACACCAATAAATACGATTTAACATATATAATAAAAATTCTTACGTACTTGAAACTTGAACACTTGATAGCTCGTGATGCCTACCGGACAAAGCTACAGCACCACACCGTGCAATGTAATTGAAGATGCGTAACCGCGACATAATTCTCAGTGATGCGCAAGCATAACAGGCAGTATGTCACTTATATAATTGTCATCTCTGCAGTCTATTAATCTTTGCACTTTTATAAGTAATACAGAACGTAGTTGCTAGACGGTGTTGACATCGGCTAAAATCTCTGCGATCGCCGTTTCGTCAAGGTCATTCAGGCTAGTTAAGCAAATTAGTTTAAAACAACCCCATTGTAATGGATTTCCGCAAAGTAACGCCTGATTCTATCAATTATCTTAAATATCATTAGTTAATAAAAACAATTTTTTTAAAACTTAATCGTTTTATTCAAAGTTATTATTTTCTTTTTTTTAATAGCATTACCACCACATTATTATTTTCTCCTGTATCGCGGGGGCAGTTTACATACATAGATTTCACAAGGGCAAACATCCAGACACAATCCATATCCACATCTATACAAATACTTGTTCCGTGCGGGATTCAAACCTGCGGTCCTTAGCGCTGCAACTCATTGCTAAGTCATTACGCCACGGAGCCGTCAAAAAAGTTACACTGACAGGCAAAATTACCCAAATTGACTTTACTCAAAATAAAGATAAAAATCTACAAGGAAAAAATAATTCTTCCTCAATAGAAATGCGAAACATTTGAAGTTAACGCGAATCTCCGCCCCAACATTCGTTACACGACTGCGCTTGACGGGTAATAGGTAAACGTAATACAATAAACAAGCATTGTGTTGAACTCCATTCACCAATTACCGCTAACTAGATCCAGCCAGATATAATTTTGTGTTAGGGCGGGCACCGGCAGTGCCGTGTTTGTTTTTTTTTTTATTTATGGCCGGAAATATGTTGTAGTTAATAAAAAAGTTCAGATGCATGCTTTGCACAATTAGTAGGTAATTTTTTTTTAATTTTCTGAAATGGTTTCCTCACGGTCGTATATATATAATTACAGGTTTTACGTCAATCCGATAATATTTATTATATAAAAATACTATAATATAAGGTAAGCTTGTTTGTCACTCTAAAAGTTAATATCAAATTACTATTTTTATCTACGTGTTAGAGCCATGCTGCTGTTATATTGTGGTTGTAGCACGAATTGGTCGGCTCGGCTCACAGACCACGCTCTCACAGAATACCAGCGTAAAATAACAGCTTAACACTGCTGTGTTTCTTATGGTGAGTGTAGAGAACCGGAGACCCTTTTTATTGGATTTTCATTCCATCTTAGTCCTCAATGGTGACAACGCAACTGCATTTTGATTCTTTATTGAGGATAGATTTAGATGTCTATGGGTCACAGCAACCATTTTCCATCAGATGGACTGTGTGCTCGTTTGTCACTCTATCCTATAAAACAAAGTTATTATTCACGATTTGGGGTACCGTTTCAAATATATCTGATGTACAGTTAAATTTTGAAATAAAACGAGTTCGGAGGATAGTTGTTTGATTTAAAAATGTCTTTAAATGCTTTACATATTCTACATTAATGATATTCACTGGAACAACCAAGATTGAAAAAAATACTGCTACTTTGCGAACAGAACCACGTTCTAATAGTAAGCTATACAACAATTGCTTCATCTTTATAGAATCCCATTAGATCGCGTGGCGAGTGGCGGCCACCAATCTATTAATTGATTCATCATATTAGTACCAACAGTCGTTGAAAACCGCTCTTACGTCTTATTTCCAATGACATAAAGTCGTCTATCGAGTAACGTACAGAATAATATATTCTGGTTTATTAACACGAACCCCTGGTACAGTGGAGTGGAAAGGATATTAAAGTGAAAGGGTGCGATTTGCAATAGTTATTTTATTAGCTTTATTGAGATTAAATGTTTCGCTACTTCACGATACTTGTTCGAATTGTGGATATATTGATTTTTAGTAGGATAACAAACGATCCTGGCCAAATGAGCAAACACTCCAACTGTAAGTGGATGATATCATCATTGCAAGACTTTACAAGACCACTGGTGAACATAGACCTCCACCAAGAAATGCTATAAAGCACGGTCCTTAGCCACCTGCATCCATCGACTTCCTGCATATCTTACCAGGCCGCCACTTCAAGTAGTGGTAAGCCCTTCACTTTGCTTACCGGTACAGTGCCACTCGAACCTTTCTTGCCCATCGGTTGACGGTCCTTCGAGCTATATGGCCGGACCGCGGACCGGTTGTACGTGGTAGAGCCATGCTGCAGCTATATTACTAGTATAGTTGTAGCACGAATTGGTCGGCTCGACCGGAGAGGGACCACGCTCTCAAAGAATACCAGCGTAAAATAGCAGCTTAACGCTGCTGTGTTTCGTATGGTGAGTGTAGAGAACCGGAGACCCCTTTTACTGGAAACGAGGCGTTCCAATTTAGTCTTCACGGGTGACAACGCATCTGCATTTTGATTCGTAATCGAACATAGATATAGATGTCTATAGGCCACATCAACCACTTACCATCAGGTGGACTGTGTGTTCGTTTGTCACCCTTATTCTATAAAAAAGAAACCATTGCACTTCAGCTAACCAATCTGTTGGGCTATGTCGGTTACTTTGGTTCTATTTAGCATATCCTCATTTCTAAGTTTATCACGCAGAGAAACCTTCCACATATGGTCACTATATGGTATCTATTTCACCATCTTTACATGGTAGAGCCAGGGCAAGTTTTCACACGGTAGAGGCAAGCTGCAACTTTATTATGGTAGTAGAACGAATGGGTCAGCTTGACCGAGATTGAACAACGCTCTCACAGAATACTAGTGTAAAATAGGATTAATGTTGCTGTGTTACTTATGTTCAGTGTAGAGAACCGGACACTTTTTACTGGAAACGAGGCTTTCCATCTTAGTCATCAGGAGTGATAACGCATCTGCATATTGATTCTTAATGGACGATAAATAGGATGTCTATAAACCATAATATTTAATTACGATCAGTTTGAATGTGTACTCGTTTGTCACCTTTATCCTATAAAAAAGCACTCGACTTAACGGTTAGTGAATACTGTGACCAAAAGACAGGTATCTATTTCACTACTATCTATTATCTACATCAAAATGCACAGGAGTTGTCACCTCAGGGGACTACATACGACGGAATGTCTTACGAATATTGATAAAAGACATTTAGGAACGAGCTGGGCTTGAGATTAGCAGTTGTCCTAACGATCAACTAGAACAACGAGGCAGACGAAACAAAAAATGGTAGTATTACGAATAATTTTTTTGCTTTCAATAAAAAAACGTTACTTCCACACTAGGATTTTCTCCTGTATCGTAGAGGCAGTTTACAAACATACCCGGAACAATTATTTGTAGGCCATACAAATACTCGTTCCGTGCGGGATTCGAACTCGCGGCCCCCAGCGTTGTAATTGCTAAGCCACTGCGCCACGGAGCCGTCAAAGGAGTATAATATACTAGCGATTAGCACTAGCTTCGCACGGATGGTATCAGGATCTCGACAACACCTATACTTACCGTGTCCTATTGTGAATGAAAACCATTCATGAATTCAAACACACACAAAACATTTCTTTACGAGTTTAGTGATAATCACACGTACAGAAGAATTATATATATAAAGATAAATTTACATATTACCTACAATTATTAGAATAAACATATTTAATCTAATTGTTGTTCTAGCAGAAGAGAGTACATCGCCATTGAGATGGTCACCGCCGACGTCAGCGGCGCTGGTGGCAGCCGCTTTGGCACCACCGGCGCTTCGTCCCTGGCTTCCAGAGCCCCCTACAAAGAAGGCCAATCACTTGGGTAAGACAGGTTGGCATCATCCCTGATAAAGATGTAACCAATTGTTTGTAATACCTAACTTTTGATTCGGTTAATTTATTTACTTAATAGTTTAGTTTATGTACAATAATAAGAGGTTTTCACTAGGTCACTAATTCTTGGCTAATATTTCATAGCGAAAGACATAGGCGTTTTGTAGTTATTCTATGATTATAATCTTCAAGCCAGAATTGTCCCTGACCATGAATAACTCAGGTTCCGTTGGAGAAATATGTTTCAGTCTCGGTATATGAAAGTCATCAATTAGTTACTAAATTTTAAAATAGGAAGCACACCTCAGACGCAGACAATAATGGTGTTTTAAAAGGAAGGTTGCTAGCTTGAATTCAAGTTAGAATCTTCCCAAAAAAAAACCGCCAAAGTGCGAGTCGGACTCGCGCACCGAGGGTTCCGAACAAATATCCGTAGGTATATAAGTTTAAAATTATTAAAAATGTTTTTATTATATGATGTAACTAAAAATTTATGCTTTTTGCAATTTTTCCTTTATCTGTGCTATAAAAAGTTGCTTCGTACCAAATTTCAAGATCCTGAGTTCACGGGAAGTACCCTGTAGGTTTTGATTCCCTTGCGAATGTCGAAAATTTGCGGCATAAACTGCTGTATCTTTTGATTGCGTTGGCTTAGAAGTTTGATTTTTCACAGCTCCAAGGGACAGTAGACTTGAGTATTGGATATGAATTTCAACTTGATATCTCCACGCGTTCCTGAGAAAAAGGGTCTTGACAGACAGACAGACAAACGGACGACAAAGTGATAGTATAAGGGTTCCGTTTTTTCCTATTGAGGCACGGAACCCTAAAAAGGACTATATCTTTATAGTATTTTAATAGTTCCAAATTTTTTTTCTTAACTCAGTAAATATCATCAATTCCTCACAAAATTTTGACATGATAAAATTTTGCATATCGTTGGGGAGGATTCCAGCTTGAAGAAAGTCTAATATCTAATACTTACTAAATTTAAAAAAAAAAACACGTGTGAGTGTCGTGGAACACTCGGTTGGAACGAAGTTCCTTTCGTAGTATATTATTATTGATAAACATATTATATTATTGATTAACAAATACAAATAAATGAATTACTAGCGTCTATTAAAATGAAGCGTCATTAAAATATAATATTTCTTTCATGGAAAGGTAAGAAAACATGCGAGGGAGATGGATATTATTCCATGTGACGGCAAAATCTTGCACTTTTTCTCGCCTAGCTCCCATCCGTCAAATTCATATCGTGCGATAAGTAACTTCGTTCCAAAAAGTGTAGGACTTTATTTGAAAAAGAAATTATATTATAATTGTTTTCTATTTATCAGGATTGGTGTGTGTTGTATGCGGCGATACCAGCTCGGGAAAACACTACGGGATCCTTGCCTGCAACGGATGCAGTGGATTCTTCAAGCGTTCGGTTAGACGGAAACTAATATACAGGTTAGTAATGGAAAATTTTATAAAAAAAAATAAAATAAAGGTGCAATAGTGAGACAACCGTGTTTAGATGGCGTGCCTTTGTGCCGAAATGTGATTCACTTGATCGTTTTGATACGCACAGCGAGGTTTTAAGGCAAAAATGGCTAGGTATTTTCTATCTTTTTTCTATTTACCGCCTACCTACCCTAACATCCCTTAACATTATGTAGGATCTTGGTCAAACGTAGGCTTATTATGTTATAGATATATATTTGGATAAAAATTTGCGGGATGCGCTCTGGCTAATTAAAAAAAATGGAATATGGGTGACAAACGAGCACACAGTCCACCTGATATCAAGTCGATTCTGTGGCCCATAGACATCTAGATCTATCTTAAATTGAGAATCAAAATGCAGATGCATTTTCACTCTTAAGGACTAAGATGCCTTATTTCATTTTCAGGTCGAGTCGACAGATTCGTGCCACAACTATATTGTGATAGCTGCACTTAGAACGAATTATAGCCAAACTATCGAGAGCTCTCGGATTTTTGAACGTAGCTCTAAGTTTTAGGACATCACTAAGCCTAAAATTCTATAGTTCTCTTGTTAAAAGTAATTTAGAGTAGGTACGCATTATAAATTTGGGAAACTAGGTACACCCGTCTGCAAAATGTTCAAAGAAAGTTTATCCGTTACCCCTGTTTTGTAGCATCAAAGATGATTGTTGTTATACTTGTGATGATTACATTAGTTAAAAAAATCTTTTCCTCTTGCTAAGCGACGTGAGATTACTGATCAAAAGTCCACCGCTGAAAATAGGCCCCTTCCATAGTTTGGCTCATAGGGGGATATTTGCCATAGTCGCGATGCTTGTTAGCGGTATGGCAACCGCATCTGTTATTTTCTAGATGTTATTAGAAAAACGCAGCTATCCATCTTCTCAGTTGCCTCTGTCAACATCCACGGTACGAGATGGGGTTAGGCGATATTCTTACACCGCGACTGCAAGAACTGACTTTACGTGAATTTTACGGGGTAGATGCTATGATGCAGCTATATTAGTAGTATAGTTGTAGCACGAAGGGGTCGTCTCGACCGGAGAAGGACCACGCTCTCACAGAATACCAGCGTAAAATAGCAGCTTAACACTGCTGTGTTTCGTATGGTGAGTGTAGAGAACTGAGTCCCTTTTTACTGGAAATGAGGTATTTCATTTTAGCCCTCACGGGTGACAACGCATCTGCATTTTGATTCTTTATTGAGAGTAGATGTAGATGTCTATGGGTCACAGTAACCACTTACCATCAGGTGGACTGTGTACTCGTTTGTCACTCTATCTTATAAAAATAAATCTAGAATATATAATTAAAAATTAAAAATTTTGTACAGCCGACTTCAATATAAGTTATTAAGATTAACTCAAATAATTCAAAAACTGTTGGTCTAACCTTGATCAAATTCATATGGTACCACACGAAAAGTATCAGCTTTCATATAAAAAAAGAATAATCGAAATTGGTTCACTCAGTAAAAAGTTATGAGGTAACACACATAAAAAAAAAAACAAAAAAAAAACATACGCGTCGAATTGAGTACCGTCTCCTTTTTGGAAGTTGGCAGAAAATTAAATTCAACACGATAAAATACGTAAAATTATTTTTAGACAATTGTAATACTATACACGTTAAGCGTGATATTTTAGTACTTTAGTTGCCTGTTGAGTAAACATTCTAAAGTGTGGCAAGTTGACATAATTCCATATAGATGCACACATTTGTCGCTTATTGTTTGAACAATCTTATTACTGTGTGCATTTAACACACAGTAATAAGATTGTTCAAACAATAAGCGACAAATGTTGAAAATGGGTTCATATGTTTAAGGCGTTCGATTCATCGAGCCAATAATTTTAACAATTGTGTACACAAAGAGTGTATGAATAATCTAAATCTTTATTAAAAGAGATTGGGCAAATTTCATACAAAAGCAAAGTAGTAACAACACGGTTAATGCATATCCTAGTCATTACATGAGGTGACCTTATTCGTCTTATTAATAACTAGCTGTTCCCCGCGACTTCGCCCGCGTGTAATTTGGTTTTAATTTTTTTGCGCAAAACTCTAAATCATTTTCTAAAATAAAAGTATGTTATACATATACACATATATATATATATATATATATATATATATATATATATATATATATATATATATATATATATATATATCCGTGCCGTGTAGTGGCGGTCAAGAATATCCACTACCCCATATCCTCCCGTGGGTGTCGTAAAAGGCGACAAAGGGAAACAGCCAGGAGATGGGCAGCAGCATCTTCCTGATAATAGCCAAATGACAATAAAAAAACTGCGGTTGCCAACCCGCTCGCCAAGCGTGGCAACTATGGCAAATACCCCCCTATGAAGAGAGTAACAAAGAGACGGCCCCCAGTCCCCGGCGGCCCCGCTATTCCTGGCTACGGTGGCGACCATGGTAACGGCGGGGCAGGGGGTGCTAAGAATCTCCGGTGGAGGTTCGGTTGCCACCTTAGACGACTCGACCTGGCAACGTACAACGCACGCACCCTGAGGACTGACGAGAAGATCGTGGAGCTGGAAGAAGAGATAGACAAGTTGCGCTGGCATATTATAGGATTATCTGAAGTCCGAAGAGAGGGGGAGGACACGGTAATCCTCGAATCCGGCAACTTGCTCTATCACCGGGAGGGCGACCATCTGTCCTAAGGAGGTGTCGGATTTATCGTCCACAAGTCTCTCGTTAACAACGTTGTAAAAATCGGGAGTGTATCGACGAGGGTTGCGTACCTTATACTCAGAATCACCAAACGGTATTCGCTGAAGGTCATACAGGTTTACGCACCAACCTCGGCACACCCCGATGAGGAGGTGGAGGAAATGTATGAGGATATCTCTAGAGCCATGCATTCCTCCAAAACCCAATATACGGTGTTAATGGGAGACTTCAATGCAAAACTAGGCACAAGAGAGAACGGTGAGCTGAAAGTAGGGAAATTTGGAATAGGGCAACGGAACCCAAGGGGCCAGCAGCTGGCCGACTTCATGGAGAAAGAGGGACTCTTTATGATGAACTCTTTCTTCCAGAAGCGGCCCCACAGGAAGTGGACCTGGTCAAGCCCCGACAGTTCCACAAAAAATGAGATTGACTTCATTATGACGACCAGACGACAACTGTTCAGTGATGTCTCCGTGATCGCGAGGGTGAAAACTGGTAGCGATCACCGAATGGTTAGAGGCACACTGAACCTAAACGTTAAGTTGGAGAGGTCTCGTCTAATGAAGTCAACGCTCCGTCCCTCTCGTGCTCTGTTTCAAAGTCCCGAAACCTTTCAGCTCGAGTTACAAAACCGTTTTCAGTGCCTAGATGACTGCAATGAAGTGGACGATATGAATGACAAGCTCGTGGAAACTGTCCATGCGGTTGGAGCTAAGTTCTGCAAGACCCGCCGCAGAAGAACACAAAAACTCTCCGATCACACTCTTAATCTCATGGCTGTTAGACGGGAGATGAAGCTACATTCTTCAACAGACTTGACAGCATACAGGCATCTGAACAGACAGATCTCCAAATGCATGCGGCGGGACTTACGCAACTTCAATACAGCTCGTATTGAAGAAGCGATCGAGCGGAACCAAGGCTCCAAAGTGTTTGCCAGAGATCTGTCTGCCAGAAAGAGCCAACTGTCAAAGCTGAAGACAGAATGTGGCAGCATCGTTTCCGGGACACCTGAGATTTTGAGTGAGATTGGGAGGTTCTATGGGCAGCTGTACACATCATCGTTGGAGCCACACGCAAGTGTGAGTAACGATCCAAGAGCGAGTCTCATCCGACACTATTCCGAAGATATCCCGGATGTCAGTCTGAGCGAGATTAGGATGGCTCTCCAGCACCTTAAAAACGGTAAGGCCCCAGGCGAGGATGGAATTACAGCGGAGCTTCTGAAAGCGGGTGGAAGACCGGTACTTGAAGTCCTTCAGAAGCTCTTTAATTCCGTCCTCCATGGTGGCATTACACCGGAGGCGTGGAGCGGAAGTGCGGTGGTCTTGTTCTTCAAGAAAGGTGACAACGCTCTCTTGAAGAACTACAGACCGATTTCCCTTCTGAGCCGCGTCTACGTGCTGTTTTCGAGAGTCATTACGAATCGTCTCGCGCGCAGACTTGACGACTTCCAGCCTCCCGAACAAGCCGGTTTCCGAAAAGGCTTTAGCACCATAGACCACATACATACCCTTCGGCAAGTTGTACAGAAGTCCGAAGAGTACAATTTGCCACTATGTCTGGCGTATGTGGACTATGAGAAAGCCTTTGATTCCGTCGAAGTTTGGGCGGTGCTGCAGTCCCTTCAGCGGTGCCAAGTTGACTGTCGGTATATCGAAGTGTTGAAGTGCTTGTACAGTAGGGCTACGATGGCTATCCGAGTACAGAACCAGAGTACGAAACCTATCCAATTGCAGAGAGGTGTAAGACAGGGTGACGTCATATCCCCGAAACTCTTCACCGCTGCATTGGAAGACGTTTTCAAGCTTCTGGACTGGAAAGGATACGGTATCAACATCAATGGCGAGTACATCACTCACCTTCGATTTGCCGACGATATAGTCCTTATGGCAGAATCGCTGGAGGACCTAAGCACTATGCTCAATGACCTCAATAGTGTTTCCCAACGGATAGGTCTTAAGATGAACATGGACAAAACTAAGATCATGTTTAATGTCCATGTCACACCTATGCCGATAGTTGTTGGGAACACTAAGCTCGAAGTTGTTGACGAGTATGTTTACCTGGGACAAATAGTCCGACTGGGTAAGTCCAACTTCGACCGAGAGGTCAATCGACGGATTCAACTCGGCTGGGCAGCGTTCGGGAAGCTACGACACATCTTCTCGTCAGACATACCTCAAAACCTTAAAACGAAATTGTACAACCAGTGCGTGTTGCCAGTGATGACTTACGGAACTGAGACGTGGTCCTTCACTGCT